GGGTTCGAGTTTCAGGGCTTCGGGTTGAAGGTTTTCGGGCTTAGGCTTCAGGGTTCTGCATCGTTCAGGGTCCACGTAGTGGTTAGGGTGGTGGGGGTTTGAACATGAGATTGTGAGCCTCAAGCATTGCGAATGCTTTTCCTGTTTATACCTACCGACTATTGTATACTACACGCGAAAGACGAACAGTTTCGGCCATGTTTGGACTTTAGGGCTTCGGGCTTCGGGATTCGGGTCAGAAACTCCCTTCGCCAATCAGACACCCAAAGCCATCTGCTTGCCAGTTGCTTGCGGGACGTCGCGGTGGGCTCAGCTGTGAGTGTGATGCCATCATGCTCATGACGGTCATGCAACTGAGACTCCTCCTCCTCCTCCTCCGCCTCCTCCTCCGGTTCCTCTGTCCTCCTTCTTCAGCACAAGCGAGATCAACATCAGCAACACAACAATAATAATAACCAACAATTTTGGGCTTGAACAATAACAACGACCATCACCATCAGCTCCACCGCCACCACCACCGCCACCGCCACTGCCTCCCGCACCACCGCCACCGCCACCGCCACTGCCACCGCCACCGCCACTGCCACCGATACCGCCGCCACCACCACCACCACCACCACCACCACCACCACCACCACCACCACCACCACCACCACCACCACCACCACCACCACCACCACCACCACCACCACCACCACCACCACCACCACCACCACCACCACCACCACCACCACCACCACCACCAGGCAGCATCACCTTATCATCATCGTATATTCATCATCATCATCATCATCACACTCATCACCGCATCATCATCATCATCATCATCATCATCATCAGCATCATCATCGTCGTGTCATCATCATCGTCGCAATCTTCATCCTCATCATCCAAGAAGATCGAGGTGAACAAGAGTGCTCATGTTGTTCGAAGCAAGAGAGCAGTCAACACAGTCAAACAACGATGACAGGTAATAACAGCAACAACAACAACAGCAGCAACAACAGCAGCAACAACAGCAACATGATGACTGGCAAGAAACACAAGAAGAGCAGCCATTGAAAATGATAACAATAACAGCAACAGCGGCAGCAATAACAACAACGACTACTTCCACTACCTCTGCCACTACCTCTGCCACTACCACCGCCACTACCGCTACCCCTACCACGAGCACGACCACGACCGTGACCAGTGACACTGCTACTGCCGCTGACACCGCAACCGCCACCGCCACTGCCATTGGGGCTGCCGCTAACACTACCACTACCGCTATACCGCTACTGCTACCGCTGCCGCTACTCGCTACCGCTACCCCACCGCTACCACTACCACCGCTACCACTACCACCACTACCACCAGTACGACTTACTACCATTTTCAATTTACGACTGTTACCACCGCCCCTACCACGCCACTCGCCTTACCGAGCTCACGGACGTTATCGACGACCCGAAGCACAGAGGGCAGCGTCTCTCTCGTCGGCGTTGGCACCCTTATTAGCAGGGATCGATACAGGATTTTCTGGCTTTCGTGCGTTGGATTTGGGGAGGCGGGCGCAGAGGCTCTGACTTCATAGATTCTACACAAAACTTGTGCTGTTTTGTGCTCGAAGCTCGCGCAGGAGATTTTGCGGGTGATCGGGCTTGGTTTTGGAAGGGTGTGCTGCAGTTGCTGTTGCTGTTTGGTCGTCGTCGTCGACTTTCGGTAGTGATGGTGCTTGTGATTGTTTAGGCTTATTTGTGGTTAAAGGCTTAAGGGTTTGCGGTTTAGGGGGCCGCATCCAGCGATGTGCCGGTTTCCAGAAAGCCTAGACATCCTGGAAAGGTACATCTGTGTGGAGGTCATGCGGCTCATTTGTAGCTGCAGCCTCAGGACTTCCACTGCTGCGTGCCTATGTGCTTGATATGTGCAGAAAAAACCCGGAGCCAGCTGGGCTTGAGATGCCGTTCTTTCAGGCCTCCGTATGAAGCCGAATCCCCGGGATCAAGGCTTTGTGATTGGTAAGGGGTTTATGGACGAGTTGGGAAGAAGGGGTTTCGGGTTGAGGGTCTAGGCTATGACATTCCTGATGGTCAGGTAGCAATGATCTCGACTGCAGCGCTCTCGACGAGAATTCAGATGCGCCGTCACTGGACCCCGGGCTTGGGGCGTGAGGTCCTTTGCGAGGGTGCAGGTCCTGGTGCGCCCTGGCCCTTACACCGAAATCCGAAGCTTTTCAGATACTGGAACCCAGCATCCTCTGCTAACTCAAATGCGTTTCGACCGGTGGAGAGGGGGCAACTTGAACCCTAGATCCTAAACCCGCAACCTCAAAGCAGGAACCCTAAGCTCCAAGACCCTTCCTCCCTAGTGGCCTGAGAACGAGAGAACGCAAGCTCTCGGCTGTGGCCCTAATTGTACATATGTGCCCGCCCTTCCAAAGTCTGAGCTTTCATTCCTGATAGCCGGGAGACGCCAAGAGAGCCCTAGTTGCGGAATAGTGCCTCAGTTGTTGGGCACCTTTAACTCTGAGTTAAGTCCTTAGGGGCCTTTCGTAAGGAACCCGTGATGAACGGACGTTGGGCGGATCGCAAAGTAGATCCCGCGAGAAGTTTCAGTTTCGCTTCGGTAGTCTAGAACACTTGTGCGCAGCAACTTCTGATGCAAACCATGAAAGGAGGGTTGGGTTGTACTTTCCGGATCCTGAGACAGGGCCTGCAAAATAATGCGCTTGCTGGATGCGCCCGGAATTCTGGGTAATGGAAACCTATCAAGCCCTGCAAAAGCCTTATGGCATTATGGAAACCGTTTGAAACGTCGTAACATCCCTGTGAAACCCTAGAATCTAGAACCTGTTCTAGAATTATGGGAGGAGTGGGTCCTCTGCCTCTCCGATGATCGGCAAGTTTCCGCGATGGCGCAAGCCTCGGTGCGAGCCCCAGCTTTTTGGTGGTCTTGTTTTGAGGATTTAAGGATGAGGGCTGGTTTTGAGGTATAGGGTTCAGGGATGAGAATGACGGCTTCGGGTTTGGGACTGAAGGTTTTATAGGATCTTTTCGTGTTTTATGGCAGTCTTAGTGGTTTCGGCATATGGAAGGGTATGAGGTAGGGTCCAGCTAGATCAAGCTAGCACATCAGAGCTTTTTGGTTAGTGTGCTCGTTCGCCAAGCCATACAGTTGAGAACTTCATGGCTTCTGGTTGCGACGCTTGGGTTAGGTTGACTTTTTGTGCCAATATGGGGTCCGAAGTAATTAAGTGTTTGTCAGGGTGAATCTGGATTTACGGCCTAAGGGGGCTGGACTGAGTATGTGATATTTTGGGATGAAGTGTTGCTGTCATTGGGGAAATGAGGCTCCTGGCCCAGGACCTCTAACCGCTAAATGCCCTAAACCCTAAACTTTCACCCCGAAGCGAATCCAGGGTTGAGAATTTTGTGCCCGGAGGCTCGGAAGGTTTTGGCTTCAGGGCGCACATTGCAGGAGCTGTCGCGGGATTACGTGGTCAATGTGAGAGACTTGCGTGATACTGAGTGCTGGTTTGGAGCCGAGGCGCTCATCATTAGGCCAACAATTTCCATGAACCTGGAAAAACCTCGGGGGCCCGAGCCGCAGTTTTGGGAATCGTGGAAATTGTTGGAAGTGTTGCTAAAGCCAACAATATCCATGATTTCCCACAGACAACCAATGGAAAATGTCGCGCCGAGGTCCATAGGTTACTTTTTGAGGTCTTAGATGGGTGCAGGATTTGGGTTTTTGTTTGCATTTAGGGTCTTTGCTTTTGCCAGGCCAAGCTGCAGGACAAGAGCATCGACGAGCTAACAAAGCTCCCTGCAGCAGAGTTTCGGAGCGATAGTACCAGATCAGGTTGTAGTGGTTCAGTCTCTAGTGCTGTTAGGATTATGATTATGACTGTAATTGTTGTTGCCGTGTTTTTTGTTCTGGTTGTTGTTGTTGTGGTTGATCAGGCAGTGTCATTGTCAGCGGGATTGCCATGCATATTGTGATCACGACGAGTATAACATCACAGTCATTATAGTATGGGTCTTGAAGACAAGAGCTCGCACCACCTAGAGTACCTCATGCTCTGGGAATAGTGGTATATCGTTTTAAATCCGCTGTTCTGGATAGTCCAGGATTCTTTGGGATACGATGTTTCGGGTTTAGGGTTGTTACGAGGAGCTTGAGATCAAGATTAACGTATGTTGCTGCATGTCCGAACGCCCTGGAACCCTGGCGCAATTACCGGACCAGAGCATCGCTAAGCTCTAAACCACGAAGCTGTTCGCCAATCCTGAATCCAAAGCCTAAATCCTAAACTGCTTAAGTCGTGTGTTTATACGACTACGTTCGAAGGGGTGTCTTGACGCTTCTTCGCCATCTTGAGCTTCACAGGTTTATCGATGGCGGCAGCAAGAAGGGCAAGGCAGCGCCCGAAAATGCTCTGCTGTGGGATACTTGTGGTAGAATCTATCCGTGCTATTCTAGTCATTACGGCGCATACATTGGTTGGACCCTTTCAAGGAGCCCCTGAGATAGGAAATTCGATTTTCGGAAGCCAGCCGGGGGATGATTGAAACTAAAGCTGCAAGAGAGGACCTGCTGCTGCTGCGACATGATGATCATGATAATCAGTTTTTTTCTTTTTTTGTCGGGTGTTTGTTGTTGTTGCTGTTGCTACTGATAATGATGCTGACGTCGTCGTCGTTGTTTGCGTTCATGGGCGGGATCGATACGTTATTGTGTTGCTGAGACTGCTGCTAGGCAGCAAAACACATGGCTCTTGATATTTCCCGCAGAGAGTTTCTCGCTTTCTCTCCCTCTCTCTTGCTATCTGTCTAACTCTCTCTCTATCTCTCTCTCTCTCTCTTTCTCTCTCGCTCTCTCTACCTCAACACTAGACGCACTCCTTTGTCCACTTATCCGATATGTCATGAACCTAAACCTCGAATCCAAACCCAAATCCCCAAACTCTAAAGCCTAAACCCTCAAGCCCAAACCCCGAACCCTAGCCGGACCAGGCCAAGAAAAAGAAGGTTGCGACCAAAGAGGAGGCGAACGGGCTTCCACAGCCTTTTTGTTGGAGTTGCGAAGTTTGGGCTTTAGGAGGTTGCAAGGTGAAGGGTTTAGAGCTGAAGTTCGGGGTTTCGGGATTAGGGTTGAGCGTGTTGAGGGTTTCGGATAAGGAGCAACCAACGTTTCTCGGCTTTCGTAGTGGTCCTTATTGCAACAAGCTCTACTTCTCTTTATGTAGGAATGTAGAAACTTCTGCTATGCACTTGCTGTCGTAAAGCCGACTTGCTCTGGGCTCCGTTCACGACGAAAGGGCCAAAACGCAGACCAATGTAGTTCAGAAGTATGTAGGTATGTACGCATGCATTCATGCACGCATACCATGCACCTACTGCATATGTATATATGTATACACACATGCGAAGATGTATATGTACATACACGTGACGCCCGTGTAGTGTGGGCTCTTCGCTTTGCACTTTGATGGGGCCAGGCTCGGAGCTGGAGCCCCCCCCCCCCCCCACTCGCAAGAAGCTTCGCGAGGGTTGCACAGGGTTTAGGGCTGGGATTTAGGACCCAGTAGTAGAGTAGGTAACCTTTAACCTTTTTTGGGTAGTATGGTCCCTATAAAATCCCTGCTTAACCACTTTTAGTTCCCCATGATACCCGACAGTAGGAGGATCGGGGTTTGGGATTTAGGGCTCAGAAGCCAGACGTCTTGGGGCCAGGAGCCAGAGGTGGAAGAAAGCTGCGTCTACCTGTCGCAGGAACAGTGTGGGCCTTTTGTCGGTTTGCATGATTTCGGCTTCGAGGGCTGGATTTACTGGATCTGAAAGGTGGGACTTGCCCAGGGAGGAAGTTTCTCGACTAAGGTCTGTCAATCCGCTGAACTATGAAATCCCGAATGGTCCCGCAGTGTTTGTTTACACTTCGCATCGAAACACACGACTCCCGCAAGGCTACAAAGCCCGGGTCCCGCATGGTCCCTAAACCCCTCATGCCAAAAACCCCAAAACCCTAAATCCTTAACACTAGACGTCCAAACCCTGAGCCCGAAACCCCAAGCCTCTCTTTTGACATGCGTTTAAGGACACACAAGCCCAATGTATTTAGAGAATAGCACTTCGCCGACAACCCTGGGGGAGCGTTTCGGTGGAAACTCTGAACCCTGGGGCCGAGACCCGGCTGCTGAACAGCTCGAGCTACTTTTGGGCCAGCTGCAGATCTTCGGAAAATACCCAAGGTGAAGGGCCCGATACCCTGCACAAACCAGCCTGACTGTGAACCTTGGGCAGCTTTTTGGATATCCATATAGCGATGGTTGAGTCGTCAACATTGAGCTAGAGATGTCAACGATGATGCCGGCTGACATGCACAAAGCGATTACGTCGCAACAACTAGCTGCATCTGTTGTGTTAGGCTGATGACATGTGGCATATTTCTGCACGTAGACTGTAGGTTGTGTCAAAAATAGTTCACTACTGCGTGGGCATATGAAAACTCTCGATGTTATCGATGTTTTGCATCCTTCCCCTAAATCCCTGAACCCTTAACGCCCCAAGCTCCATAACCCCTAATCCTTCCCCTAAATCCCTGAACCCGTAACTCCCCAATCCCACAACCCGTAATCCTTCCCCTGAACCCCTGAACCCCCAGCTCCCCACCTAAATGCCTGAACCCTTAACTCCGCGAACCCCATAACCCCTAATCCTTCGGGTAGGCCATCGATTGGCAGCTCGCTCTCGGCTGGATGGAGATGGTGCCGAGCTCAGCGGTTTTTTTGGGTTTAGCGGTGTCGGGTTTCGGGTTCAGGGGCGTCTGGTTCTACATTTAGGGGTGCTGGGTTGTTTCGCAAAATTGTCGTTGATGCAAACGCGCTAGAGGATCTTGCTTGTGGCCTGTGAGGGGAGTTGCAGGATTAGGATCGATTTGGGCCTTGGTTTGTGTGCTCAGTGAGGTGGTTTGTTGGTTGTACCACGAGCTTCCTGCCCCTTCTTGGTCTTTCAGTTGGTAGTGAACCTTCTCAGGCTTATTGGATTGATCCCGTGCACGATGCCGTGGTGCACGTGGGAGTGACAAACTTCTCTTCAAGTTGCTTTCGGTGGGTCTTCGGGGAGACGTTGTCCCGTCTCAATAAATTTGGGCATCTCATCAAAGGTTATCAGTGGACCTGTTAGGAGATACCCCGCAGCCAGTATGTACGTATGCACGTATGCATAGACGGATAGACAGACAGACAGAGAGAGAGAAAGAGAGAGACAGAGAGTGAGAGGGAGATAGATGGCTAGATAGATCCGCCTTTCTAAGACGCACCAAGAGCCGCACCTCCTCCAGTGGAAGGGACTGACAAGGCCAGTTTGCCAGTTCAGGGCCTGGAGCCTGGAATAAGGGCTCGGGTTTAGGGCTGCCGGTTCGAGGGTTTAGGTTTGAGACATAACGAGGCTCCAAGCTGATAGCTGCTTGTGTGTGTTTCGGGTTGAGGTTTAGAGTGTAGGGATTAGGGCGGGATTGTCTGCTTCGAAGTTTCTTGTGTGGATCTTGGGAATTTGGTGTTCGGGACCCACAGGATCAGAGCATTTTTAAGTTGTAGTCCTTGTAATCCCATAGTAGGAGCCCGTTTAGTAATTCTTGCAAGAGTATTCCCTGTGCGAAGACTTGTAACAATGTCCCGGGTATTGTAGCCGGCATGTCATCGCAGTTACAGCCACGGGCAAGACGATGACTCTCAAGCCACAATTTCAGCAAGTTCGCGACCGCTTCTTCCAGCAAGAATCGCGGCAGCAAAAGCAGTGCAGTGGCAATGATGCTGAGAATGGTTTGGGATTTAGGATATGAGCAGCCTGTGCAGTTTTGCAAGGCAAATGTGCGGCAACTGTACAGCGAAATCTCAGGAGTTCATATAAGCCTAATCCTAAACCCCAAAGCCTAACTTCAGGGGTTCACATGAACACCCCAAAACAAACATCCGATTGCAGGAATGAGCCCACACCGACGGCTGTGTACGAGGCCGCGCCTGGCTACACTGAATTCCTCAGCCGTTGGTAATGGGTTTCTTGTTTTCACTACGAGAAGAAGAGTTTCGGTTTCAGGTGTTTGTGCTTTAGGGCTTGGGGATGAGCCTCGTGGGGGTCCAAAGTGCTGCGTGCATTTGGATTTTTTTTGGGTGTGGTGTGGGTCGGTCCGTTGTTGTTTCGGCACCTGTCTCGTCTGCGTCCGTCAGTTGGATGTATCCACTTCAGAGGGTGAAAGATGGGAGAAAATTGTCAACCAAGATGACATGATGAAGATGACATGTATCTCCGCATGAATCATTGATGTCCATTCAGTCTTTTAAGCCATATTTGCTATCCAGGCGAATCGCTTCTTGCGCTTTCGGCTGCAGCCGCCCCCTCACGGCGGCCGCACGAGGGCCAAGCCGGCCAGCTGTGTCCGCGTCCCAGAAGCAACCAGGTCTGCGCTTTAGGAACTTTAGGGCTTATAAGGACCTTCACTTGGGGCTTCGGTCTTGTTAATTCGGTTCAGGGGTTGGTCCAGAGGCCAAGAGTTTGGCGTTTTGGTGTACGAGGTTTTGGAGCTTTTAGGGAATCAGGGGATTCGGGAGGTTTTCGAGTTTCGGACATCAAAAGCATAGTGTTGGAGATAGAGTTTGCGTCGGCGTTTCTGCAAGCCGTTTAGTATCCGGTTGTTCGGTGCAGGTGCTTTTGAAGCCTGCGCGGTTACGACTAGAGTCGGGATCTATTAGTTGGATTGTTACATCTCCGGTATGTAGCTGCCACCCATGACCCATGTGGGAAGTTCAGAGCATCGGACCGTCCCATGCATGGTGCATCTGTACATGTTGTACCTTGCTAGATCCAGCAAAGCCGCTGAGAAAGGTCAGGCTGAACACCTCTACGAGCCCCCCGAGGCTGAGCCAAAGCATCCTTGCAACGCAACTTCAGTCCCCAAGTCACCAACTAAACCCGCCACTTTAGTCCCTACACCCGCTTTCAGTACGCCTTGGAACGTCGACCAAGTGCTTCGAATACTGGATAAAGAGGAACTTGGGAACTAATCCCAAGCTAAAGCCTACACACGTCTGAGCCATCCCGCCCGTGCCCAGTTACTGGCGATGCCTCAGCAAGAGTCGCTGGCAAGGTGTGGGTCTTGGGACATTGAGTTCTTTGGCTTTTGAGGATCCAGGGTTAGGGCTTCAGAGTTTTCGTTTTGGACGATGTCGGCCTCCGCTCTACACCATTGCTGGCATAGGCGGGGGTAACCCTAAACCTGATACCCTATAAACTTCTGAAACCTCAATGCTGTAGATCTGCACAGCCTGAACTTGTGGTGGCAGGGTTTGCTTGATCCTCATCCGCAAATCAAGGGCACTGAACGTCGTCAGCCTCTACACACAGAAGAGCCGTCATGAATCAGAAGTCAAAGATTTTCAAGAAAAAAGCGAGATAGGAAATGTAGCAACACTGATTCAGAACCCTCCTGTTCCCAAGCTCCGCACCAAACGTCGATTCCGACGTCCAGCATGGAAAGCTCCCTAGGTTCAAGAGAATTCCACAACAGCACGACCTCATTTGAGTAAACATCCCTAAACCCGAGTTGTAAGCGCACAAAAGAACAACCTCGCTTATGTCTGAGGATACCCGAGGCCAGCAGAAACCGGGCCACAAACATCCCGCAACTCGACCTCTTACAGATTCTGCAAAGGTTGCACTGGGGTTTGGGTTTTGGGGTTTAGAATTGCTTTTGGCTTTTAGTGCTGTCAGGGTGACAGGGCTTGGTGCCTGGGGTTAGGGTTGGGCTTAGGGCTCAGGCTGGACTGGCATTCGTGTCATAAAGGGGTCCGTATAATTATCTCGCTTAGCCCCCTCTGGTGCGTACAAAGTCGTTGTACGAAAACGCTTTTGAAACCTTGGAGGCCCTGTGGTGCTTTTCTTCTTGTGTATCAGGAGCTTTCGGTACTCCTTTCGCCAGGATTTGCGTTCGACAGCTTCTTCGAGTTGATAGCTAGGTGCTGGCCAAACTGTCCTCCGATGGGGCATGCGGGCCGGACTCTGACCTTCAAGGTTTTCTTGGAATTTTTTAAGTCTCGGACCCGTCGGAACAGGGTTGCATGTCCAGGGCCAGCATTCCCTAAACCCTAAACCCGAAGAGAGCAGGCCTGCAGCCAGCACGGCTTCGCATTCGGGACTTCGCCTTGCACCATAGCCGCTAGATGTTGGCTTGGACCGTGGATGATGAATGAACCAACCATGTTATGTACGACTTACTAAACATTGAATATCTAAAGTGTCGTTGTTTAGAAAGTCGTAACATGGGTCGCGTGTCATCCCCATCGTATCGTTCTAGGTGTTCTAATGGATGATGTGCCCTGGACGCAAAACTATGACGCTCATAACTCCAACATTCTAAGACCCGGAAACTCGAGACCCTGCCCACAAGCCCTATGCAGCAAACCCTAGACACCCAAGACCCGGGGAAAAGTATTGGCTCATCCGCACGGCTTGGACTATCGCTGTCCCTGGGGTTTAGCAGTTTCACGTGCTTAGCGTGCTTCATGGACAACAGTGAGACTAAACTGTAGATCCTATAGTTTAGGGTACTTAAGAAGAAGGTGATGCACACTTTTGTCCATCAGCATATGTAAATATCCATGACCTTGGTTAGAGTCCGTTTTTGCATGGGATTGTGATCGTCATTCTGTTTGCTCGTAGTATTGCCGCGATATGTGGGGCCGTAGGATTTGAGAAAGTTCTCGAGAAACTCTTCCGGTTCGCGGAGGTATTTTTCCACCCTCCTGAACACCAGCGTCCTCAGCAACGACGAGATTCAAGCTATTCAGTTGGGGCAGGCCCATTCTTGCACACAACCTTTCGCACACAACCTTTCATGAGGGACCTTGTCCTGTGCTGCCATAGCAATCTCCGAAATTTGGGGCTTCCATGGTCTTTTCAAAACGTTTTTTGCAGCAAGCTTCCACTACTGCTCGGTCTTGTGTTGGGAAGCCGTTAAGAGCTAACTCTCCTGCTAGGCCAAATCCGTCTCCCTTTACAGAAGCACCAAGTTCTTCTCTTGTGCTGTTTGATTCACGTTCAAGAGTTGGAGACGGAGATATCTTTGCATTTCCATCTCTTGAGACTGTCTCTGCCCATCTAACGGCGGGGCAATGAAGCCCTTACCTGGTTTACATGTCGGATATCTCAGAACCTGCGAGAAAGCTGTCAAATTCAATGCCGAGCAAGTCCGTTCGAAGCAGGAGCCACCGAAGCAGGACAAAGATATCCCGCTGGAGGCGCTCTCAGAAAGGAAGATTTCTAACTTCGGACTTTGGAGAGGCCAGCGACAAGCAGATTGGGATGCCACTGCCACTGCTACTGCTACTGCCACTGCCAGTGCCACTGTCACGGCCACTGCCACAGCTGCTGCTACTGCTGCTGCTGCTGCTGCTGTTGCTGCAACGACTACGACAACGACGACTACTACTGTACCATCACTACTATTGCTACACAGCACTACAGTACTACTGTATTGCTGTACTGCTGTACTACTGTACCACTACTGTACTACTACTGTACTACTGCACTACTGTACTTCTACTGTAATAATTTCTGCTACTACACTACTACTACTACTACTGCTACTACTGCTACTACTGCTACTACTACTACTACTACTACTACTACTACTACTCCTACTGCTACTGCTACTGCTACTGCTACTGCTACTGCTACTGCTACTGCTACTGCTACTGCGACTGCCACTGCCACTGCCACTGCCACTGCCACTGCCACTGCTACTGCTACTGCTACTGCTACTGCTACTGCTGCTACTGCTACGACGACTGCGACTGCGACTACGACGACGACGACTACGACGACGATTACGACAACGACTACGACGACGACTACTAGTACCGCTGCTGCGACTACTGCTCCTACACCAACGGCCCAAGCTCAAACCTCGGTCAACATTCAACCACCTCATTCTGTACGTGCCTGACCTGAAGGCCCCCGAAGCACATGAAGCTGTGCAGCCCTTGGAATTGAATCAAAAGCCCTGGAGCGCAGCCCTGCGCTCCTAAAATTCTTCAAAACTGAATACCCACTGAGTGCTTCACAACAGCACAAAAGCCCTGGATGAGTAACTTGAAGCGAAGGCTGGAGGGCAGAGGTTCAGAATTCAGGGCTGTGGGAGCAGGTTCCGGACCCGAAGTTGTAGCCAGACCCTGAACTTGGGGGAGTTCTCCTGAGATGGCGAACTCCAACCTCTTTTTCGAGCTCTACGTCCGCCAGCGAAACTATCCGGCTGGGGTCCCAGGGAGGGAAGTGGTGCTGTTGAGACCATTTCTTAGGATTGGCTGACCTTCTGGGAGCCCGAACTTGATTTCTGGGCTGTGAAGGAGACTTGCGACATTTTCAGGGCTGCAGAAAATCAAAGGGTTTGCTGGTTTGTGGCCTTTAAGTTCAGGGCTTCGCGCTCTGCCGCCGCTTCCGATTTGGATGCGTGCGGTACCGTCTTTGCGCTTTGATCTGATGCAGGCTACAGCTGCGTCGCCGAGGTACTCAGAGAGCCCAAACAGCAAACTGCTTGATGAGTCCATTGGTCCCCCAAACTCAAAACTTTTGAGAACCCAGCGAAGGCTTAGCACAGAAGCCTTACTACTACTACTACTACTACTACTACTACTACTACTACTACTACTACTACTACTACTACTACTACTACTACAAACCCTAACCCGCCCGAATGCCAGTTTCCGCCGCCTCTTCGCCTGGCTTTTGGTCATCGCCTCGGGGGTTCTTTTGCTTCGTGATCCAGGGTTTAGGGTTTAGGGTTTAGGGGTTTAAGGTTTAGGGGTTTAGGGTTTAGGGTTTTGGGCTTAGGAGTTCGGAATGTCGGCTTTATCAGTTCTTGGGGTCTGGGTCGGCAAGTTGAGGTTTGGGGGAGTCGCGGCTGGGGCATGTAGGGCTTTTGAGGGATCTTGGGAAGTGCACTTTTGACATATATAGAATCTTTGAAGATCCCTTACGAAGAATCCTCACAGAAACCTTTATAGAAGCCTTATATAAAGCCCTTATGAATCCTTGAGCGACTTATGAGGCTGCCAGCAAACAAGTGTCCGATGTCCTCGGCAGCACACGCACGCCGAATATCGCCGAATATGCCGCAGGACTGTGCAGAAAGGAGCTCCGAATAACACAGCCGTCGCTCGGTCGCGAGCCTCTCGCCTTATGTGGCGAGGCACGCCAACTCATTTGTGTTGCCTGGAGGCCGTCTCCGGGAATCGAGAGGCAGACAAGCGAAACTGCAGCACAGGCCGATGCGGATGATGCTCGCCATTCTGGGTTGCTAAATCCGTCCAATCACTCGGTCGAAGCTGTGGCTATGCGGAGGCTTCAGGGGAAAACAAAGTCTAGTCGACACGACTCGATCACAATCAACATGGGCTGCCCCCCCACCCCCTGGCCGAGTCCATGGCCGAGCAGGCGGTTGCTGCCTGTAAGCGTCATGGGGAAGACTGAATCCAGCTGCTGCGGATGATGCGCGCCACCCGCCGCCTGTCCAGCAAAATAGAGCGCTTGCTGCGGGGTACGGCGCGCACGTCAGTCCAATCACTGAACCGAGGTTCCAGGACAACCGGTTCCTCTGCTTGTTGTGTCGTCCGATGACGGTCGGCAGATTTGTTCCCGAAGGTTGGAGAGACGGAGCGTGAAGCCAACTCCGGCTGATGCGGATGATGCTCGCCATTCTGGGTTGCTAAATCCTTCCAATCGCTCGGTCAATTGCTTCCGGGATGGCTCAGAAAGCTGTGGCTATGCAGAGGCTTCAGTGAAAAATCAATTCCAACTGATGGAAGTGCCCCACTTTGTCATTCAATCCTTGTAGTCGATGCAATTCAGCCGCCCACCGCGCAAAAAACCGCTACAGCTGATGCTGATGATGCGTGCCACCCTGTGCCCATAATCCGGCAATGCGCATGTTGCCGCATCGAGGCCCGAAAATCGACCTTCGCAGCAGAACTTTACTTTTTCTCTCGATTCTCATTCTACTACAAATCGACAGAATCTTTTGAAAGCACAGCTTCCCATGCTTCCAGGTGCCGTGCGAGCGGGTGGCAAAAAGAAGGAGATGATCCGCCTCGACCTGTGCGGAACTCTGTGGGTCAACCCTCTACTACCTATACTACCCCAAGCTTTAGGGCCTCGGATCCTCGGTCCAAAGAACCGAAGCCTCCATGCTGTGGTAAGTAGCATAACGGTTTAAGACACAGGGCTTAGTGCCCCCAAAATCGGGACTTATCCAGAACTTCGCTTTACACTGTCAGCTCAAAGCCCTTCAACGCCAGACCTGCTCCACCAAAAACTGAGACCTTCAGGTAAGACCATGCCCAAATTACTTCCAGTGGCTCCCCATTTCAAGGACCCACCAAATATGCTTAAGTTCAGAAATCCGCAAAAGCCTCGGAAAACCAAACCCCAGAGCTGACAGGTTGAGTCCGACTGCAGCCCAAGAAAGCTAGAAAAAGATCCTTGAGATCTCGCAGTCAGCCTAGCTTCAGGGTTTGGGGCGCAAAGTCCTCGGCCACTGCAGTTTTGCAGACCAATATTCCTTTCGTCGACCAGGAGCCTCCCAGACCCCAAGGCCCCAAAGTGAAATGCGGAGTCTCAAAGCCAAACTTGGCTTACCTTAGCCCAGGACACCTTACTTTGTCGTGTGTTTTTAGCCAGGTGATAGAAATAAGCAGGTTCTAGCATGTCAGAACAGGCCTTAGGGTCCCAACTTCTGAGCCCAAAGAGCATGCCGAAATGGGGTTTAAGGCTCTAGGATCTGGCAGAAGAAACCAAAGATTTGCAGCCTTTGGCCCAACGCACCACGACCTTTGCCGGCCTTCCCCGTGCCGCCTTCTCAGGCCTGCGGAGTCAAGACTGGAATCCTTTTGTAGTTGCTATCTGATTATATGAAAATGTGCCCCCCCTTAAACACACCAACACGCTGAACCCTAAAGCCAAACCCTGTTCTGACTGCTTGTTCCCTCACTGAGAGCACTTTTTTTCATAACGTTCTCTTTGGGAGGAACAGATTTCAAAAGGAAGCGAAACCCTGAACCCTGAACTGGCCTTGAACCTCCCCGAATTCCCACCCAAACCCCGCAGCTCTTGAAGCAAACATCCTGAGCGCTACACCTGCCTGAGCCTAAGTAAGATCCCAAAGCCTGCCCAAACCCGTTAAGCCCAACCAGTCCCACTCCTCACTGAGAAACGTTGCCGAACTACATGGTGGCTTTCTGCACCCTACACCCCTAAATCCTAAACCCTGAATCCTAAACGCTAGACCGTAAACCGCACGAAGGCAGACATGCTCGCTCTGCTCCTCCTTGCCTTGCCTTCGCGAGTCGCTGCCCACGGAGCCTCGCCTTGCTAAGTTAGTTTCGGGCGATGCGGGCGGAGGGCCCCGGGGGGGGCCTCGGAGTTCGGGCTACTCCGGTTTGGGTTTCAAGTTCAGAATGATTTGGGTGTAGAAGTCTGGATTTCAGGGCGATTTGGATTTGGGAGTATCCAGCGTTTGCTGGTCATCTATTTGTCTGTCTGTCGACGAGACGTCGATCTGTCCATCTTTCGGTGTATCATGGTATATAACTATGGAAAATGTCTGGATGTCTTTCCCTGCAAGCATACATGCACTCGTACATGTATTCTTTTTGTTAGAGTGATGCTGGCCAGATCGCACCTCCAAGCACGACAACGTGGCGGGAATGTATTCCGTTGCCCCATAGCAGTAGACGCATGTAGAGGTAAGTGAGATAAACGGTTAGCTTATGAAGTCACACAGATTCAGGCACTCACTAGCCATTAGCGTATGACGACAATGTTCGTCGTTAATAACATGCAATTTTACTCGAGAGGTTGCTTGTTGTCGGCCGCATAAAGGTTTGGGGGTTTCGGGCTTAGCAGGTTTCGGATGTTGTGTCTTTCAGGCTTCGGTTTTGGCCCCCTGACTTGATTCGCTTTGCCGCCTAACCCCGAGCAAAAACCCACGTATGGCCAGCATGGAACTTTGACAGAGGCCTCGTAAAGTAGCCTTGCCGGGAAGGTGTCCTAACCTGGCCTCCCTCGACGCGGCAAAATGGCAGCCTGGCACACGCGGGAAGCTGCGCCTTCGACGACACGATGGCTGCAAAAAGAAGCCGAGCTGGGGACACTTCAGGAGTAGGAAGCTTCTTCCTAGTCTTTTCGGGTTCTGGCCAGCTCAACGGCTTAACGGCTTGGTTGTTTGGCGGAAGCTTCGGGTGGCAGGGTAGGCCCTGCTCCTCGGTTTGCTACAAAGGGCTGCTAAAAGAAATGCTATGGCTTACAACCATGGTTTCTTCAAGCAGCTTCTGCGGATCAAGTTTTAATTCGGGGCTTCGGCGCGGGTCTAAGGGGGGTGGGTTTCGAGCTTTTAGCGGTTTCGGTCGGTCTCCAGTTGTTAAGACATTGGATTTCTATTCACACATTTCACAGGAATCGGTCAGGAAGCCTGCACCCTAAACCATGAGCCCTGCACACCCTAAGCCTTGATTCCTAAACCTCCTAAACCCAAGACCCCCAAACGCTAAGCCTCATGGCAAACCCCAGAAGACCCCAAATAATCCGAAAGGACTGCATGTGGTACTCGGACTTCGTGACGATTCCAGGGAAGCCGACGGCTCTTTGACCGGAGCTGCACTGAACCACAAGACTCTAGTGGTTGAGGGTGTAGGATTTAGGAAGATTTAGCTTTGGTATGCACGGTTACAGGGTTCAGGGTTTACACTCCAAGGACAAGATTCTGAAGGCTTTACGGGGTTCTCCAGGATTGCGCGCAAAGCGAAACCTCTCCAAGCCCGAGATTAACCCCGAAGCCCAAACCGTTTGTACACCCCCCAAGCCCTCAAAACCCTAAATCCTTCAAGTCTAAGCCGCTAAAGCCTCGCAGGGTTTTTTTGGAGTTTGGGATTCAGGGGGTCCGGGGTTTGGCTTAGGGGCTTGGGGTTCAGAGGCTTATGTCTTGTTAGGGATTAAGGGTTGAGCTTAGGGCTTAGGGGCTTAGGGTTCAGGTTTTGCGCACGGCGAGATTGCAACACTTCCACCCAGGGCTTGGGGTTTGGTTTCAGGATGCAGGTTTTAGGTTTGGAGCTTGGCATTTTCGAACTTCACATTCCCAGGACCCAAGTTCTAATAATTACACCGACAGCTTCTTCTTAATAGAAGACTCGGCCCAGATCCCCAGAACCAAGAACCCCATATACGCAAAACCACAACCCGGATTTTTCAATCCCCAAACAAGGTAGGGCTTTGGGACATTTTATATTTTCCCTTATTTGGCTTAAGAGGATCTTATTTACTAATATTTTTCAAAGGCTTTAAACGCCCCACCTAGTAAAGAAAACCCTCCAAGTTCCTAACCGAAATCCCCAGGTCAACGATGCGCAGAGTCGCACCTTCAATGTGAAAGTCCATGGCGGGGACCAGGCCTGGAAGAGGATTTTGAGCTAAGCCGGAGATTCACCGTTCGCTGTCCGTGTCGCTGGTTTGCGGTTTTGGGCAAACGTTCCATTACATTTTACATGAGCTGGCGATGGGGTTTTCAAACTTGTAGGACATCTGCGTATTGGGTAGTAGTAATTCCCACAGCATGGGCCTAGTAAATACCCCAACACCCGAACCCGACCCGCTCCTCAACTCTCATGGGTTCGAAATCTTGAGATTAAAGCATAGTTGCCATGTGAACGTCCAAAGTCGACGCACTGGAAAACATGGCAGAAACGTAAGTGGAGGTAAGGCCCCAAGGTCGTAGCTGTCGAAAACCCCAAGCCTATCCAAACCTTTTCAGCCTGAAAGCGCCAGCCGCAGCTCCAAGTTCTAAACCCTCAACTCTACCCTAAGGCTCCATTTTAGTTCCTTTTTGGGGTTCATATATAGAATCCTACAAGGTAATCCCAAAATGGAACTACTATGGAGCCTCTGGGTAAGCCGGAAACCCCAAAGCCCCCAAGCGTGCAGAGGACTGGTCCAAGAAGAACCCCTGGCGGGCTCCCGGAACGGCGCCCGTCTTCGGCTCAGGCTGCGGTCGCTCCTCAAAAAGCGGGTTCAGCGGTTTAGGGGTTTAGGATTCAGTGAGTTTAGGCTTTAGGGTTTAGGATTCAGTGAGTTTAGGGTTTAGGGTTTAGGGTTTAGGGTTTAGGGTTTAGGGTTTAGGATTCAGTGAGTTTAGGCTTTAGGGTTTAGGGGTTTATAGGGTTGCTGAAGGTCCATCATTAGGATCCCTGGATAGATTCCAGGGTTCTGAGGCTTCCAATTCAGAGTGTCGGAGTTTCGGGTGATTTATGCTTGGGATTGCGCTCGGGATGGTCCGGGCGGGTGTGAGCCTGGCTCTGGTAGCCGCAGACCATCGTAGTGAGAAGGCCTGAGCCCCAAGCTCCTACTCTAATGCCCTCAACCCCGAATCCCTAAACCCGTCATTCCAGACGTCGCTCTTTCTCGGACTGTTTGCAGCTTGCATAAACCCCTTAGTGCCTAAAGCCCAAACCTCTCAACCCCTGAACGCTCACCACATCAACCCTCAACCCCTAAACCCTTAAACACTCGACCCCCTGAACCCTCAAGCCTCAAACTCATCAACAAGGTGGGAGAATCTAGTAAACCAAGGTATCTTCGGCGGCCGCCAGGACGCAAGGGGATCAGGTTGAAGGGGCTTTGGTCTTTCGCCTGCAGTGGTTGGGGTTTAGGGGTTCAGGGTTCTGGGCACCTTCATGACTCCTTGCGCGACTGAAACCTGGGTATCGGCAGGCCTTTATGTGGCAAAGACAAAGCGTGAATGCCTGCACACCGGGGGTCCGAGATCCCCTCCCCAGCGAATTCCCGAAAGGCCGAAAGTTTATATGCGTCCGCGTTCCGCGTTCTCGACCCCCCCCCCCCCCAATGGTATCCCCCCCCCCCGGCCCGGGCGACCACACAACAAGAACAAGAACAAGAACAAGAAGAAGAACAGCAGCAACAACAAAGCAGCAGCAACCACGCGGAGGAACCACAGGAACCACAGGGGGGGAGGGGGGAGACAGGAACCAGAAGAACCAGAAAAGGGAGGGGGAAAACCAAGAGGAACCACAGGGGGGGGGGGGGAACCA